TCAAGTCCACTCTTCCCACAATCACAGAAATTGAAAAGAGTATTTCATCTACTGTTATCAGCAGATTACAGTGAAATCAAACAGCCCATATAAATACTATTTAATATGCTGGCATTCATATACATACATATATTTACACACACACTCGCTCTAAGGTAGGCAATCCAGTATAAATTCTACACTTTAGCCTATATATAATATAGGCAACCATTTATCTGCTCATTTTCATACAAACTGACACTGCAACTATCAGCAGTCCGTAATTACTAACCACATGAGGACAATCTAACAGATTAGTAAATATTGGTTAATATTTAAACTGAGAATGGATGGGCAACTTCACCAGACAGGTCAACGTGACTGAAATCAAGAAAGGTTAACTATAAAAGGCTCAACCCTGAAGTAATTTCCTTTGGTTGTTTTTTACAATCAAGTCTAATGACCCATTGTAAAACTATGTTTTGTGAAAGCATTAGACGGACACAATATGGACTAAACTCAACTCAGCCTGTGTCCCTCATCTCCCCAAGGCCTAAGCTAAAAGCAGACTGTACACAAATACCCTGGTTCCACACCTCCCACCCCCAGAAAGCTTTAATAACATGGGATTTGAGAGCTAGCATGTCTAGAAAGGGGGGAAAGACCCAAATCTCCGAAGACCTAAATTCAAAACCAAGAAAAGAAGAATTTCTACATTAGCAGTTAAAATTTCTCTTTTAAATTACACAATAAATGCATTACCTTGCCTATTGCTTATACCCAAGTTTTTATACACATGGTATGGTTTTTTTTAAAGACAGCTTTTAAAGTGGTTCATAAAATGCTGACTTGAGCAATCACCATAAAGACATTCTGTGGTTCCCATCACAGACAGATCTTCATCTTACTGGGACATACTATAGAGACTGATCAGCCCAAACAGCTTTTAAATTCTGTACAGAATTTTTACTTAATGATGGAACATACATCAGTTGTAACCCTGTTTTCTCCTACCTCAGACACTGCAACTCCTTAGCAATACTTCCCTAACATACTATGTCATCATAACATGTTACTGGGAAACTAAGCACACAAGTGGAAATGGGTGCCCCAATGATGTAAAAATTACTGTAATCTAGTATTATAATTTGGGTAATGTGCAGATGAAGTAAGGTTTACTAAAAGCAAGGTTAAATCAGAGCCTTGCATGATGAAACTGTTCTGTGTATCAGCAAGACTGACACACGCTGGCTACACAATTGTGGCTGTCACTGTGAGAAACCCAACTCTGAGGCTGAGATCGAATTAACTTGTCTAGCTCCTAGCAGGCAGTATAGAAGTTTCAGATTATACATTACAATATCATAGTAAAAACACCTGAAGATGCCTCCAGTTAAAATACATTTTGGGACACTGTATAAATATTAATCAGACATGACCTGTGTACAAATACTTGCACAGTTACTAAAGATCACTTCCAGAAATGACAGTTTGCCTGACAATTTACGTGATAATTGGGAAATTTCAAAGTTTCATAAGACTTGTGATAAAAGTCAGGGTGATATAAAAATGAGAAATCACAGTTTCTCAAAAATTCTGTCTCTCCTTTGGCTGTTGGTGCAATAATAAACATGAACATACTTCTTTTCCATTTTCTGATGAAGAAGGATAAAAAGATAAAGTCATATAAAAAGTATTTGAGAATCATCTCAATGGAGAGTTGGGAACCAGCAATTACAGTTGAAGTAAAGACCAGCATAAAGATCTACTTCTCAAAACCATCTCTTGAACCAGCAGAATGACACTGTTCTGAAGAAGGTTTCCTGACAATGCCTTGAAGACTGAGAAATAAAGCCAGAAGAAATCCCTTCATATTTTATAGAAAGAGTTCTAAATAATTTCAAGAAAGTAATTTTCTTTGGGAGTACAGTAACCTTTCAAGCAAATCCAACAGGGGAGCCATTTTCTTGGAAAACTAGAAAGATGACTATTAGAAAAAAAAAGAAAAAAAAAGGCGGGGGAGGATGCAAATTGTTTTTACAAAGTTTCCCTTTTTATTAACTGCGCACTACAAAATTCAAGCATCCAAGAAAAATCTAAGGTACCCCTTAAGAAAGTGGAACCCAAGGAAAGCTAGACTTTTAGACTTAAAACTGGCAACTAAGATAACCACCTTGGAATCTGGACAAAATGCGGACAACTCAGGCCAACCAATCTACAGAGACAGCTGCCCTACAGAGTGCAGGTGCTATGCAGTTTAAAAACTTACTCAATTTCAATATTCAGTTGAAATTTTTTTAAACTTTCAATATTTTTAAAACTTTCGATATATACATAGGCACGCTATGAGAGTATACCACTCATGCAACCTTTTTATTTTCATTTTAAAAAATAGGTGAAGAAAGTTGTATCATACAACTACGACAGACAACCAACTTCAAACTTGCTAATATAAGCTGGCTCTGAATTCAGAATTTGTATTGAATCCCCTGTCCCACATCAGTTCCATCTCCTGAACCCATTTGCGGCTTCAGAAGTTGTTACTAATGATGTAAACTTATGAAGACAGAGGGTTATAATTTGTTTAGCTTTACGTAAATGAATTTAAGTTTCTACCATGTATCTATTTTACAAATATATAAAATATTCTTAACCAACAGTCCTGTTATCTACAGTATTTTACTTCACTTGGATAATGAAAGTTCATGGTTAGTCTCATAAAGCACACTGAAAAAGAGCTTCACATTCTTCTCTAGTAGTGGAAAACGATTCCCAAATACATAAATTGATGCATTATCTTTACACAAATTTGAATGAAAGAAACATAAGGTAAAACTCCTTTTCTTACGGTTGGCTTTTGCAAAAGTAAACTGCTATCATGTGCTATGACCCCCGTCAATTTGTCGATTCTCTTGCCAATGGAAATTCCATTTTTCACAGAAGGTTTGAGGTTGGCAGGGACCTCTGGAGGTCGTCTTGTGCAAACCCCCTGCTCATGCAGGGCCCCCTAGAGCCAGTTGGCCAGGACTGTGCCTAGATAGTTTCTGAATATCTCTAAAGAGGGAGATTCCACAACCTCTCTGGGCCAGTATCACAGTGAAAAAGCATTTCCTGATGTTCAGAGGGAACCTCCTGTGTTCCAGTTTGTGCCCACTGCCTCTCGTTCTGTTACTGGGCACCACTGGAAAGAGGCTGGCTCCGTCCTCTTTGCACCCTCCCTTCAGGTATTTATATACATTGATGAGATCCCCCCTGAGCCTTCTCTTCTCCAGGCTGAACAGCCCCCGCTCTCTCAGGCTCTCCTAGGAGGACGGATGCTCCAGTCTCAGTCTCTTAACCATCTTCATAGCCCTTCGTTGGACTCTCTCCAGTATGTCCATGTGTCTCTTGCACTGGGGAGCCATTTTATTCATTTTTTTCCAATAAAACTTCAGAAATCCTGTGTTCCATTACCTTTTGAGAAATCCCTGAAGGAGTTGGCACTACATATGGAATTCAGCAGCCCACTTAGTCCATTTTATTCAAATCACTTCTAGTAAGCTAGAAACGAACCAAAATCTTTCCCAAAATTCACGCTTTTTGACGTTTAAATGTTAACACGTCTCTGAACATTATTTTCCAGAATTGTATCAATATGTAAAATGCAATCTTAAAATCAATTCAGTGAAAAACATCATTTTAACAACTGCTACTAGATTGTTTGTCTTCTTTCTAGTCATATAAAGTTCAGTCAGAATAACCTGAGTAACTATGTTATTGAAAAACCAGTGATGTCTGGAGTCAGTATAAATATTACAAAGCCCATTTTTGTAAAGGGAGGCCATGCTGACCCAGGTTATCATCTTACTCTCTCAAGAATAAATAAAATTCAGGAAAATCAGATAGGAATCTGAAATACTCTGCTGTTGTAAAATTCATGAAGCATACCCATTTCCAACACATTGTCATAAACACCATGATGTTTCTGGAAAAACAGTTTGGCTTATTTAATAACAAATATGAAGACACTGAATATATTTCTTCTTTGTCTCTGTGGTACAGTAGGTTGTACCCCCAAAAAATAGATGCCATAAGGCAAAGACAAACTGGGAAAAGTGTTAGTTGGGAGTACGTAAGAGTACAGGTTTTGTTTTTGAAAGCAGTCAAAGCAACGTGAAATCTTAAGGCCTTCAAACCACAAGCTCTAGAAGCCTTACACCATGCTACACAATTTCTTGGTAGAAGCTTCTCCATTCCTTTTAAAACTTTGCACTGTTTCTACATTTTTATGCTGTACTTCAGAAACATCATACTCCAGGATTAAAGTTACAGGCAATGTCTTGTGGACTAGACACTTGTTTATATTGAAAGTACAGCCAATTAAACTAAACCTTGTAATTTAAAGCTTCAGGGAACAGTAATTTTTATGGCCTGATAAGTAATGGAGACAAACTTAGGTAACCCAGAAAGACCCAGACAAATATATTTATTTAATAGCAAATGTTTACTAGTCAGGCTGCAGAAACAATACTGTCTTTTGCCCCCTTCACTACAAAGTACTGAGTGTACACACACGAACACAGCCAGAGAGAACAAGGAACACAGTTAGAAAAGAACATTAAACCAGCAGATAATTTATCTGTCCTGCTGAGGAAAGCTCAGGGAAGTGAGCCAAAACTTCTGAAAAGAAGAAAACATGAGAGAACTAAACATAAGAAAGCAGAGATACAGCACTGAATTAAGATAGCGCAGACACTTTAGACAATACTCCACACCCACCTACACTGATGCAACTTCAATGATTTCTTGAAGTCTCCCCTGATCATTTACCCCTGAACCCAACGGGCCACAGAGGTCCTTCCAGAAAAGTTCTCTCTGAAATTACCACTTACACAAAGCATACATGGCAAAGTACAGCACTGCCCAAACATTTAGCTAGAGGAGAAAGCAAGCATTAGGTTGATAACATAACAGCAGCACTTCTGCTAGCTACTGCTTACATCTTTCAGACTAGCTGCGATTATTCCAAGTGTGATGCTTACCTTTAATAGTTTCCTCCACAACTTCTACTACACGATCTATCTGCTGAACCTAAAAAAAGTCAGAAGGTCAATATCTAAGTAGTCAACAACTGGACATACTTTATATAAACTCTTCTTTCAAAAGTGTGTTCTTCTGGATTAAGGGGGAGTAAAGAGTTTGGGGCTATGTTTTTAGCCAGGTTTTTTTTCTGTGCATCTTGGTTCATCTGCCAAAAGTAACTTTACAACCCACCACCTATCTTAAACAAAATTTTGTCCCCCAAAATAGCAAGCTCTTGTAAATTTGGCAAAAAAAAAAAAAAAATCACCAAATGGCTAGAAAAGATGGACCCAAAAAAAGAGTTCAGGCCTGAACTGCTGCTCGCGGTCTGTGAAAGGCAGTGGCCACCCGGGCAGTCGGCGCCTGGGCGGCTCAAACAGCCCCTACCTGCTCCTCGGCACCAAAAGAGTGGATGGTAGAGAACATAGTAAGAAGCTGACAATACTGTGAGGGCAGGCTATAGGGGAGAAAATTAAGGAAGTGTTGCTGGGAAAAGACACTGGAATATGGGAAGGAATTAAAAATACCGTGGCCAAGTTTAAGTGAACAAGACATTGTCCTAGACTTACTGCAGGCAGTGTTTGGAAATGGAAGGAAAAGCCCTGACACTTTTCACAAGACAGAATAACATTTAATGACCATGACAGCATCTCCAGCAAAGACAACAAATTCATGTTTTAGTGTTACACTTGCCAAAATTCACCCATAACATGGAAAAACGTTCCATATTTCTTATTAGATACATTATTCTTTATTTAAAGTTAATGGCCAATATACTACAGAGAGTTTGGTATATTAGGTAAAAGGAATCAGCGTTAACACTGCAAAATTAAACACTCAAATTCTTGGAGTTGAGATTCTTCCTTCAACTGTCATCCAAACTGCCTATTCTATGTAATGTCTACTATTTATGTGCATAGATGTTTACATACAATGCAGGAAAGCCTACTTTGCATATTTAAATTAGTTTATAATTTTCCCACAATATTCCTTTTTAAACACTGCTTCTCTAAGCTGTTCCTTATATGAACTAGACTTAGTATGTTTTTTGCAGTCATTTTCCTTGGAGTTTCTTTTCCGGTTCGTTTCAAGAACAAGCAGAAAAGCACAAGCTGCAGAGGTTTCAAGAGCAGAACGTGGTCTGCAACAAGGATCCTGGAACTTGGATCCCTTGCATCAAAGCCATTAAGTCTCTGGGCCCTTAAACCACCGAGTTTGTCATTTCCTGTAAACACATGTCTGCACAACCACCTCTATTTCACATTCCTTTCCCAATTGGTCTAATAGCAGCTTAAAACAAACAAAAAAACCCCAACAAAACCCTCATGGGTAGTTGGTGTCTGATCTAGAGTTCCCAACTGAAGTCAGTGGGACTCTCCTTGTCTGGGTGTTGGATCAAGTCCACGTAAAACTATTTGGGTTTTAATTATTTTTTTTAAAAAAACCTTTTGAAATACAGCCTTTTCAGAACACAATTGTCTGCCACTTCAGATTTCTGAATACAGTATATTAGTTACGAATTCTAGAAATTAAGTTATTTAAGGTATCACTAATATTGGCATTTTAATAATCTTATTAAAAGATATATATTTAAATCCTTTTCTGGATTACAAGCATTCATATTATAGACATATGGCAATATTTAACAATCTAAAGAAAGCACACATAAGCAGTTGTGTGGAACGCATGTGTATTTACATACTTGTGTACATATCCCCTTTAGATACAAGTTAAAAAAAATTATGGCCTAAGATACTTACATATAGACTTTCTACATAATTTCTTAAAAATAAATAAAAATATGTAACTTGAAAAAAAAAAAGGGTGCACATTTACACCTATAAATATAGACAGAGAACACAGTCTGTGCCAAATACATCGCCCAAAATAACATCACTACATATGTCAATACTAAACTGCTTAAGTTCATAATCATTTTAAAACAAGAGAATCCTGGTTGGTTCATAACCTGAACCACCTATGATTACTTTCTGTATTGTACATCCGAGGAATTTTTGCATAGCTCCAAACAAACCCCCTGTTAAATAAAGATACAGAAAAAACCCAACCGGTATATTGTATTTTCATTTTATTAGATAAATTAAATTATTCTTAACATGTCTGTCAAGAAGAAGGTTCATGTAAGTAATTAAAATTTTAGGTCTGAGAGATAATGAGTTCTGTGACTAGAAATGGGCGTTTATTCTGCCTTATGTGTTATTTCCCCCATTAAGTATTTTTCATTTGAAATTATTGGAAATTGTTTGGCTAAAGCCCCAAGTGCTCAAGAAGAAAATATGGAATGCTTCCGATCTGCATTTATGAAGATAAAAGTATTTTAGTAAGACTGAGGTGAATCTGGAGTGAGATGAGGGAAGCGTTTAGAGGATTCTTGTTTGCAAAAAAAGGGGGGGGGGGAGAAATCACAAAGTCATTGTAATTCAATTTTCTTGGGTATTAAAAGGCCTGCAGGATTATTTTCCCCACAACTCACTAGACTTATGGATAATTCTGTTCTGGAGTGCTATCAAAGGCATCTGTAAATCTTGAGCAGAGACCCAATAATGTCTCCAACAGGCATCAGGAAGCCCATGAAGCACAGAAACTTAAAAGTTCTTAGTGGTGTACGAAGGGAAAAGACACCATTCCTCAACATTTCTTTGCAGTGAGTCTCAATAAACCAAACCCTCAGGACCAACAGCAGGTACTTTACTGCTGGATGTAGTTCGTGCGCCGTACTTGGCTCCACACATCTTGTGAGATCTTGTTTCTAGTATAAGCATGTACATGGTGGACTTCTTTTTCCATTACAAATGGTTCTCCATTAGGACTTGGACAGAACAAAGGCTAATGGCAGACTGGAGCAGGCAGCTGAGGAGGACTACACAAGAAAAAACAAAACAAAACAAAACAAAACAACCCACCCAAGCACCATGAATCAGGGCTGATGAAGAAATCTGGGCTGAGATGGATATAGGACAAGAGCAGAGGCAAGGCCCACGGGATGAAGGAGCAGCCAAGGCAGGAAACTGGCTGATCAAAAAGCAAAGAAGAAGTTTTACCAAAGTGTGAAGCCTGAGCTGAAACAAAGACCAGGAAAAAGCCTTTGAGCCTTCCTGGTGGGATCAGAGCTAGGCGTAAGTGCAGCTCAGCAATCCTATGTATCCAGCCCGTATACGCGCACAAGGAAGACGTGAGGCAATCCATGCTGGGGCTGAAGCTGGAGGTCACTCCTCAACACGCAATTCCAAGCCAGTCACATTTCAAACCATGCACCTCCCAGGACACCCCAGCGCTCCGCGGAGAGACAGAAGCCCCGAGCTCTCCAACTAAGCACCAGTTAATTAGCAAAAGGAGTATAGAAATGCACACACGTTCCATTTGTCATCAAAGAAATTCCCCCAGTTCCCTTTGTACTGTCACAGTCGCAGATGTAATCATTTGACAGATGACTGCTGGGCATCAACAGCCCAAAGACACGCTTGTGATGTGCTATGTCTGCAGCCTCCCACCAGGCGATCTGCGAGTGCAGGCAGACGTGCGTGTTGAGGATGGTCACACAAATTCTTCCAAGCTCTCAGACATGATCCAGGTTGTCTCAGAACCAGTATTAACATCCTGAAACTGTTTTGCAGGAGATGGACTCTGGAAAAAGCATAACCTCTAAGATAGCTCCTATAAACTCTGAATACTCTTAATGGGCAGTTGAGTGAGAGGTTGCACATTTACCTGACCTCTTGTACTCTGTAGAAGTCAGTGAGCCTCACACCAAAGAACGCTACCTAGAAAAGTGCATCCATGAACCTATCATGAAAGTAAGATAAACTTTCTGACGTTCTCTTCAGGAAAGCATCAAGACCTCTGCAAAGACCCTGCACTGTCATCTGGGACGACAAAACCTCATACAAGATTTACAGTGAAATAAATGTACTTTCAGTATAATGCATCCACCGAAATACAGACAGAAGCATTCTGTGGGTAAAGATGTTTGGACCAATCCCTTTCTGAAGTGACAGGACCAACACAAAACAGGAGAGATGGTCTTCAAATGTCCCTTACGACCAAAGCCGGGTAAAAAGTGCTACAGTTAGCTCTTTTTAGTGAAGACATCAGCTGTCTTAACAGTCTTTTCTGAAAGAGAAGCCTCAGCATGCTTCTCTCTGTGGCTGCAGCCATGACAAGAAACTAGAGGGTGGTTGTGAAAACAAAGAATTTACGAATGTCCAATATTTTCTGGAGGACACAAACTGCCTTTTAATGGAGTCCGCTCCATGGGCATCTAAGACACCACAGAAAAGCTGGTTGGTTCAAGCTGCACCCCTGAAGCAGCTAAAGAATGATCTGGCCCAACTATGTATTGTAGAAAAGGTGGGAATGCGTAAGGCTTCCTGGGCAGTCTATGTGATAAAAGGTACTAATTTTCCCTCCTCTTAATACATCCCAGAGATAATTTCAGATGGAGTCAGCTGCAGGAAGCCTATTTACACCAGAGGCACACTGCCTTTTGCCAACTGTCACGGTGCTCGTGCTTTCTGGAGTCGTGCCACTGCCTGTTAGATAATGGCTGCCCTGGTCGCATCTGAAGAGGATGAAATCCTACAAAGCAAGCATTTCAATTCCTTCAGAAAATACGTCCTTATACTGTGACTTGAACTTTCTCTATCTCAGAAGAACGTGCCCACCAGGTGATGAAAAAAATCACTGTAGTGGTTGGGAAGCATCTTGGCATTCAAATCAGCAGTTTCCCTCAAATTATCTTTTGATTCTTAATGCAGTGATACCTCAACACGTCTGAGTGTAGAATACATTACACTTTGTTGTCTCCAAATCATAAGATCACAGAATAATTCCTGTGCCTGACACGCCATTTCTTGTAAGCAGTCACAAGGTGTCCACATCACCTGCCTGACGACTGCTGTTTCTGCTGGGGGACTAGGATTAACCTGGTAGAATCAGCAGCAAATAAAAACGAACCAGTGACAAAGCATGAGACCTCTGATACTTGCCAC